AATGCTTCACATAGAGAAATACGCAAATCAACGCTGAGAAACGGTCGAATACCGTAGATCACTTTTAACCCATAGAAGCAACTGCGAACAAGTTCGGCCACATGAGTGTCAAATCTAAGGTGACCGTCCATAATTATACCCAAATTTCGGGCCTCCGTAATTGAAAGAACTGACGCATGTGACTGGATGTTTCTCACTTGTTTACAAGATCCTAGAATCAAAAGTTGAGATTTGATTGGATTCAAGACCAAGGCATTGTTCCTGGACCAAATAGCTAAGCGGTGTAGATCCTCATTAATGGGGCTTGTACTTTCGGCGGTTCTATCTGGATCGAAAGACAGATGTAACTGAACATCATCCGCATAGAGGTGATACTTGCAGTTTTTGATGCAGCCCGTGATATCTGAAGTGTAAAGTACAAATAGCAACGGCCCCAATATAGAGCCTTGAGGCACGCCCCTGTCAACAGCACTCAGATCTGACATCAGGCCAGCGCCATTGGATTTCGACAATTTTACTTGTTGCGTGCGGTTAGTAAGGTAACTCTTGAATCATTCCAAAGCCGATGAGTCGCAACCGCAGTATTTTAATTTTGAAATAAGTAAAGGAATATTAATGGACTCGAAGGCTCTGGAAAAGTCCAAAAGTACCAGAGCAGTTCCCTTGTCAGAATCTTGAGCACTGAGAACTGCGTCTATGACGTCATGTAAGGCAGTATTTGTACTGCGCCCCTTCCTGAAACCGAACTGCACCACAGGCAGGATATTGTTTGCCTCTAAGAATTTTGATAACTGCAACGACACGATCTTTTCTAAAATTTTTTAAAGATAGGGTTTGCCCTATGCTTATGGGAAGTAAATCTTTCACATTTTCTGGACTATTTTTCTTGAGAATGGGAGTTATTATTGCTGTTTTCCAAAGTGAAGGGAAAGTCGAAGTAATAATTGACGAATTAACAATATCAGTAATTACATTAAGAGTATGAGGGAGAGTTAACAGTACCATGTCCACGCTAGTGCCATCCGATCCCAATGCATTGGATTCCAATCCAAGAACAATTCTACCAAAGGTATCTTCACTAACAGGAACAAGTTTAAACGTGGATTCTGAGAACGTGTGATGCTCATAGTATGATATAGTTTCTACACTAGGGATGCTGTCTCCTGGTACATTAAGCAAATGTTTATTTATTTGGTTAGGGTTATTAAAATAAATTGGCAGATCGGCGGAGTTTTTAAAATCTGGTAAAATATCACGCTTTAAGTTTTTCCAGAGTGTTTTGGAATTGTTTCCATTATTATTTATATTTTGAGTGAAAAATATGTTTTTTGTTCAAAGAACGAACTCGAATTGACCAGATGTTTAAGCATTTTATAGTTTTTTTTGTTCTCGTCAGTTTTGAATTGTTTATATTTAATATGAGCCGAATTACGCAATTCCATCATAAGGCGAACATTGCTTGTCAGCCATGGTTTATTCCTGTCTTTTATTGTAATTATACGGCACGGAGCAAACTTGTCATAAAGCATAGTTAAAAGTAATGTACCTTATCTTTCACAGATTCCAAATTAATTCCACAATTCCAATCCTATCGTTCCAATGTATGTGAGAAACTCGACAAATCTATATTTTTCAAACGTCTTATAGAGGTTCAGCGGGAAGTTGACTTTTCCTTTTTTACATGCATTTCTGCAAAAACCATTGCATATCCGCCCAATTCGGCAGCTTAATCCACAACCAAATTTAGAACATTATGATCAGAGCAGAATAGATCAATGAGACTTTCACTATGCGAAGTAAAATGTGTTGGTGAAGAAACATAATTTGTCAAATTCATACTGTTAAAAAACAACTGCAGCCTTTTGGCGTTGCCGCTGTTATGGTCTAAGAGATTAATGTTAAAGTTTCCCACTAGTACAATTGTATCGAAATTCGAAAATGATGTTAGAGCGTCCAAGAATTCATCCACACATACCCAACGAGGTCGATATGCGGTACCTACTAAAATACGACTACAACTAATCGTCATGCTAATCCATAACTGTTCCACATTTGTAGCTGGTGTGTGGGTGCATTTACGGGCATTAAGATCACGTTTAATATAGAAACCAACTCCACCACCACCACCAGCCCGTGTTCCCAAAGTCCGTGGAATGTGCGTAAAGCGGTACCCCTGCATCATAGGCGCACACCCCTCTTGTCCTTTTTAAAGCCAAGTTTCGTTAATGGCTAGTATGTCAGGAGAATAGCAGCAAGGAACTCATTGTGTTTGATATTTAAAGATCCAGCATTATACAGACCAATTTTTAAGTATTTTAACTTAACCATTTCGTAAAAGTTTGTAATTAATTGGGTATGTGAAAAGCATTAATATTAAGTATATATAAATGTGTCCAAATGTGGAAAATGTAGGCAATTTAACTTCATATAATTCTTGTTTGATATAACATTCACATTTTATAGCTCATTTTATGTATTAATCATTTCATATATTGTCAATTTAGATGATATTTACGTGGTGTAATATCGCGGAGTGGAGCGAACGTGCTGCGACTGCGGCCGCGGCCGGCGAGTGCCAGAAACGAATTTGTTTGCGTTTCCGAACATGTTTTCAGTCCAAATTGTAATTAATGTAATATTATATTATTAACAATATCGTTTTTCACAAATAATCCTATTTCTAGATGAAATGTAATTTAGATAAAATTACATTATGTTAACTGTAGTTTATAACTTGTGATCGTTATAAAAAATTAAATTATAGAATGTAAGTTTATATTAAACTTTCGTTATATGAAGTGGACTACTATATTAAATGAATTTATTGGAAGAAAAATTATGCCAATTGAGCGTTACGTGAATAATATTTATATGATACGTTACAAACCCCATCAACCCATTTATACGTACCACTGATGGGCACTCTCCTGCCACTTGGCTTCCGTACCTAAAATCCCATTGGACATGAGTTTCCTCTCAGGCTTTAAGCGTGAAACTCACAGAAAGCGGGTGCGGGTCGGGTCGAACGAACGCAATCCAAGTTTGTCGGAATTAATGTACGAATTTAATTAGAAATTTACTATGAGCTTTTTGGTGAAGAAAAAGCCGTGATGGAACCTGCACTTCGAATAAGTTTCACTACCCTCGGAAACAGTGTGAAGTCTTTGGGCCAGCAGCGTGGCGGACTATGGCCTAATTGTTAGCCTGAGAGGAGACGTATACATGTGTTAAGACAATATTGTGTGAACAAATATCTATTAAATACGGAAACCTCTAAAGTGTATGTATGAGTCATTCTTTTTAGGAAAAACCTGCCTTAATAATGAGTACTGTTAAATCACTTTGACGATTTCAAATGTAATTTGCTTATCAACAAAATAAATGTACTTGTATGCAATATTAAAATATCTTTATTTTTATCTGAATTGAATTTAAAGGGAAATAAAAAAAAAGATTTAGAATTTTGACACTTTGCAAGTGTGTAATTGATTTAAACTTTGTTGTCGAGGATTCAGAAGAAGTTAAGTTCGAAACTTGTTTACTCAACTATAAGAGGGCCAAATATGTGGCGCTAAAAACATAAAATCACGTGTTTGGAATAAAGAACTTGTTTCACAAAGCGCCTAGCATCAAGCGCACGTGTTCTATCGATAATTAATTTGATTTTTAAGTGACTTAAAAATAAGAAGATCAATTCGTCGGTATGTTTTTTTTTGTATATATGTTACGCGAAAACTCCAGCATTTATGAACCGATTTGAATAATTCTTTCTTGTTGAAAAGAGGGTACCTCAGTATTGGTCCCATTTAAATTTGAAGAAAACATTCCACTTCTAAGGGTGGCAAACTAAGGGATGAATCTGGTTTCGCGCACTTTGCAGTAACCGATCTCATAAAACTTTGTAAATACATGTAATTCCACGAACTTGTGAGAAAATCTGAGCCTATAAAACACCAAGTGGATTTTTAACACATCCTAAGTTGATTTATGAACGTATCCTAAGTCGAATTTGGAACGCGTAATTATCGGTTAACTTTCCTGGTTAAGTTTCCTGTATTTAATTTTATGCACACAATTGAAAAACTTACAAATACCTTTATTTACTATATATAATTACAATAAAGGTCAACATCGACAGTTAGGCTAATGACAGTTATTCAGAACGCATAAATTGCTAGTGGCTACCACACTAGGGAAACCCTGTATCGTGGGATTTATTAGCTATGAGTTATTAGCTAATAGGTAAAAAGGGTGCAAATTTATTAAAGGGTTCTAATGCTCCTACTCACAAAAATGCCACCTATTACATGTTTTTGAGTTAAATTTTTGTCAAACGCTGGAGAGAGGGGCCGGGCAGTTCGAAAAAATCATAGACCAAATGCTACAAACAACAATGCACACCGCAATATACTGAAAAGTTACTTACACTGTTTTGATTTAAAACTTTGCAGGTATATAGTGTTTTTGAGTGAGATATTGACAACAAAAATACACTGTGTTTTAAAACATGTACCCTACATTTTACTCAGCAAAATGTAGTACGGTATTACGGGGAGCCTGAGTTAGCGAAAACTCTCAGATCGCGTAACCCCTTTCACTAAGGTTAATTTATTTGGGTCAACAAACAGTAGGCACAATTAAAACTTATAATTAAATTTCTTATAGTAACTATGTAACGATTGTGTCACCAACACCGTTAACTACCTACAACAAAACAGAGCAGTGATTGATGCTATCAACAAGTAATGGAAAAAAATAGTACAACAAATATGATTTAAACTTAATTCTATTGAAAATGGCTGTTTGCTAGTTTTTTAAGGTTCTGTTGGTTCAACAGATGTTATAACATTGGTTACTATGTACCTGTCTGCCACAGGTACATTTTTAGACACGATATTAAATTAGATATTGTTGTATGAATACTGCAATGTAAAGCAGCTTATTCTCCTACCAGATATTATTAACTTAAATTATTAGTGTTTGTTTAAAACTTGTTCAAGGAGGAAGAGGAATGGAAGGAATATGAGGAACCAGTGAAAGACTATACAGGACTCAAGATCCAGGTGCTGCAAGGCGGAAACGGAGCCCCCGAGTCTGCGCCGCAGTCTGAGGACTCCGCCCCTGAAGGTGGCAAGGTTAAAGGACCTTGGAACAAACCTGTAAGTTAATAACTTCTGAACATTTTTTAAACCTGAAAACAGAGCCTGTAAAATATTCTGTAAAATTCCGATTAGTTTACGACATAAATATCTTCTGGTTGTCAATAATCATAGTGCAGAGGTGCGCGACTTGTGTTGTGTACGGTTGGTAACAACTATAACACAAGGTCGATGACCTCTGGTAAATTTGTAATCGTAAGAGTAACTAACTGCTATGGAGATAGGACCTTAAAGAAACGTATTCCATACATATTAAACAGCTTACCAGAGGTTATTAGACATGAACTTAAAAAATGTAAATTTAAAAAAATGTTGAAATGTTATTTCACAAATTATTGTTGAATAGTTAGTAATTGCTTAATTGAGACTCATTTCGATCCTGCAGTCAAACTGTATTTACAGTTTTGTAGGACTACGTTTATTTAAATATATTGTTCCCCCCTTTTCTTAAATTCAAATAAATAATAATAATAATGTAGGTACATGCAGCTTAATTCACATTTAACCAATTCATACGGACAATTATTAAATACAGGGTGTTAGTGAAATTACAGGCATATGGAACTTGTCAACTTGTGTCGCAGGGTAATGGGCGCAGTGGCAGTGCCCCTAAGTTCTTTACGATTTAAAGCTCTGAGTAGCACTTCAACCGACGCTACATCAATAGATACGGATAGAGCGTAACAAAAAACCACAAAATATGTTATTTAGCACATCTATGTGAAGCTTGCCACCTAAGTTTTTATCTATACCAATTCCAAGAAACGTAACATTGTTTACCTCATCAATGACGTCATTTTCACAACTTATGTGTAAATTAAAATCTACTTTTTGTAATTACCAAATAGTATTTTTGGAGTCTAAATCTCTTATATTTGTTTTTCAAACAAACCAACTTTTCTACTAATTTCCTTGTAATTAATAAAGAATAATGGCGAACTCCCGTATAAATTTTGTTCACATAATTTGTATGCGTCTGCTTATGAAAAATGTGTGAAAATATAGAGCTTTAATTCCTGAACAAGTTTGGTTTTGGGTTTATCCTGAGAACAGTGTTGAGCGTTAATCAATTAAGTATCAATCAATAATTCAATCAGATTAAAAAATCAATTCAATTGAAATCAATTGCAATTAAATCAATTGCGACGCGTCGCGATTGATTTAATTGCAATTGATTTTAATTGCAATTAAATTTGCAATTAAAATCAATTCCGGCCGGTTGGGGGCCCCGGTTGGGAACTCCGCTTGGGGGCCCCGGTTGGGGTCTCCGGTTGGGGGCCCCGATTGGAGGGCCCGGTTGGGGGGCCCGGTTGGGGGCCCGGTTGGGACCCCCGGTTGGGGGCTCGGTTGGGGGGCCCCCTAACCTGCCCCCAGCAGGCCCCCACAACCAACGCCCTAACTCACCCCCATATGCCCTATAAATTTATCATAATTGTCAGTTTTAATTGTTAATCAAAAACATTGAAAAGATTGAAAATTTATTAATTGTTAACTGTAGATATTTGCGATTAACAATTGATTAATTGTTAATTGCGGTTCTCGCAACTAACAATTGATCAATCGTTAATTGCTGTTTCGCAATTGACAATTAATATTCATACCGTGGCTTAGTTGACATAACATCTGGCACGGTTTGCTAGAAGACGGTGGTTCGAATACAGCCGGAACGAAGGAATTTTTACTTAGTGTTCGATTTTTGTATTAATAATTATATTTATTTTTTACCGACTTCAAAAAAAGGAGGAACTGTATATGTTTTTAATACTTTTTAAAAAAAATTGTGAACCGATTAACTGCATCGGTGGCCGAACGGTTGCTGGACTGCAACGCCGAGGTCACAGGTTCGATTCCCGGGCCGGGAGAAATATTTGTATGGTCTACATTTATTTCTCTCGTAAGTTTGGGTGTAATTTTTGGTTGTCTATGCGTGTCCATGGCACCCGCGACACAGGGTTTCCCTAGTGCGGGACTATGTTGGGTGTTATTATTATTATTATTGGAAAGAAGGTACCTCAGTAGTGGTCACATTTAAATTTTATGAAAATATTCCACCTGTAAGGGTGGCAAGCTAAGGGATGAATTACTTTTGAGGTCGCTTTTTTTAGTACTCTTTTCCGAGATGATCGTGGTTATTTTAAATTTTTTTTAATTTTAATTTTTTTATTTTATTATCAATGACAATCACTGAAAACCTGGATTTGTATAAATGTTTTCTAATTTTAGAAGCAAGCAGAGCAGCAACAAGTTGAGCCGCCGCCGCCGCAGCAGCCAAAGCCGCCGGTGGTCGAAGAGAAAGAGAAAGCGTATGTGCCTCCCGGACGCATGCGGGCCGCCGCTGAACCGGTCCCGCGCCGGAACCAATCCGTAAGTGTCGTATTTTTTTTTTCAAAAAAAGGTGGTGGCCTCAATTCAATTTTTTTTTTTGTATGTATGTCACGCGATAAATTTTAAATTAAATTTGAAGAAAATATTCGACCTCTAAGGGTGGTAAACTAGGGGATGAATGACTTTTGAGGTCGGTTTTTTAGTACTCTGTCCTGAGGTTGGGTTATTATACCTATTGATTTGTAAAGTATGTTTCAATAAAAAGATGTATCAAGATTGTTTACATTTAGTTAAGTACCTAAACAAATGGAAAATACCACGGATTTTTGTCATCCAAGAACAGAGAAGCTAATAGTTTTAAACCTCATAAACGGTAAATTTTGAACATCAATCGGAATCTTATTATAGATGTGTACTACATTTGTCAATTTGAGATTTCGTGAAAATGACTGTCAAAAACAGCTAGTTTATTCCTCGTATTAATGAAATATCTGTTATTCCTTCATTAAAAAATATATATATTTTCTTAACATAAATAATATTAGGAAATGAAACTATTTTTCCGGATTTAAATCCCGTATATATGTTTTTTCAAACAAACCGACGTTTCGGTTTCGTGAACCGTGACCATGGGACATGTAAAGGGTCCGAAACGTCGGTTTATTTGAAAAAACAAATATACGCGAACAATCGCGAAAACCTAAGAACTCGGCATCAATAACATTTTCATAAAATTAGCATTTGGTACATGACAAATTGATCTGGATATTCAAATAAACTTACATATAGAATATGAAACTGCCCACACTTTAGTGTTTTCATACAGGTTCGATGTATCCAGTTTCTGTTTATTTTTGACCGACTTCAGAAAAGGAGGAGTTCTCAATTCGACTGTATGCTTGTTTTGTATTTATGTTACGCGATAGCTCCGCCATTTGTGAACCGATTTTGATGGTTCTTTTTTTGTTGGAAAGAGGGTACCTCGGTATTGGACCCGTTTCGAAGAAAATATTCCACCTCCAAGGGTGTCCGTTTTTTTATTAAAAAAAAAAATGAAAAAATTGTTTCATGCAATCGCGAAAACCTTCAAAATTATTTATTTTTTAACGACTTCAATCATAGCCTAATAGGCGACACATGCAAGGCGAACCCTTTCTGACAACACATTAGACTAATAAGTCTTATTTAAGACAACGCGTGGGAACATTACTGCAGTACCGATCACTACTGTACCCAGTGAATATCTCTGTGTTTTTAATAAAATACTTCAAAGCATAAACATTTATTTATTTGCAAACAATTTAGGTACAAAGATTACCTGGGTAATAAGTACATACATACCCCTTTGGGGTGCAGCATTTAATTATTGTTAAATACATATAGCATCTTATAATTAACGTTAATAGACTTTACATCATTAAATACTCGTAAAATTACATATCAGAAACTGAACTATTTGGGCTTATAGGGAGAGTTCATGAAGTCTCCCACACTGTAGTAACATCCATTTAACAAGAGAGACCTCAGTTTGGTTTTAAACGCGTTGTCAATTTTCACTTTCTTGTATTTTATTATAAAGTAATATGAATCTATATCATGGCTACGATAAGGGTCGATGCGAATTCGCAGCGCAGAAAACAGCGACGCGAATTGCTGCCATTTTGTGATGCAAAGCATCACACTGCTACGACTAGGGTGACCATTCTTTCGACGATCATGACCGTATTTTTTAAATTAGGTATCAACATGAGTCGCACTGTAGAGAGTGTAGGAAAAAAAACCACAGATAATATTGACGTCGCAGGAATGCGCGATGCGGAGCAATTCGCGAATTCTTGTTTCGATGGTGTGGTAATAATAGCCAAAAATCAAATTTCCACAGTAACCGATTTCAATAAAATTTGGCAAGTTGATGTATTTCCACGAACATTTGGGTCGTTTTTTTAGTACTCTATAATGTGATTATTTTAGATTTATTTTTAGAAAGAACATGGATGCAAATGTTGGACAGTCAAGATAATAAAGGCTACACTGTGTCGTGCTAAACATTTGGTATGAAATGTGGATGTTATTGTTATATTCAATAACGTAACATTATCACACACTGTAACATGCATTGTTTGTAGAATATGTTGGGATTATTTTTGATAATAGAAAACATATCCAGTTTCTCATTATTGTATATTGTTATACATCCTTTTTGTTAATTGGATGCTAATAAACAGTAACGTGGCAACCCGGATGTCCTGGGTAGTTTTTATTTTAAGTATATTATGAAGAAAATGCGAAGAAAGAAGTAATGAAGAAAAATAGAACTATATTTCTTATTTTAAACCAAATTACGGAAGACTTTATTCTGAAAAGTCCACTAATTACGAATTCAAAGTTTTTGTTTAAAGTGACTATAATGTGATTTAAGTGAAAGTGTGGTTCTAATACAACATATTGTATTAGAACCACAATGGAAAATATTTATTCAGGATCCCGATAATTAAACGAAGACATGGCTCAAAGGACTCGTATCCAAGCCAAATAATATCAAGTGACGGGACGAACAGGTCGTGCGCCTGATGGTAAGCTACACGCCTGTCCATAACAGTTGCAGTGCCACTCAGAGCTTTAAATCGCAAAGATCTGAGGGGCACTGCTACTACGCCCGTTACCCTGAGACACAAGTTGACAAGTCCCATGTGCCTGTAATTCACCAGCACCCATACTCTTTTAAACTGGAACACAGTAACGCTTGGCGGCAGAAATAGGTAAGGTGGCAGTACTTCCCTGGACAAACCCTTTCACAAGGAGCTCTACTTCTACTAAACTATTTTAAACCAAATTACAAAATACTCTATCCTGAAAATTCCACTAATTACTAATTCAAAGTTTTTGTTTAAAGTGACAATAATGTGAAACCACAATGGAAAATATTTATTCAGTATCCCGATAATTAAACGAAGACATGGCTCAAAGGACTCCTATCCAAGCCAAAATTCTTAATAAAAAAAATATGTTGCCCCGCAAACGTGACCCAAAGAGAGTGGCGTTGCAGAAACACGCGCCCGACATCCACAACGACGACTACTTCCCGGTGCTGGGTGCGGCGGGCGGCAAGCGCGGCGGCGGCTGGAGCACGGCGGGCGGCGCGGGCGCCACCAGCCAAGCGCAGCCGCGCTCCCACCAGCGTCAGCCGCTCGCGCTCGGCAACCGTTTCACCACGCTGCAGGACGACAGCTAGCCAGGTACGCTTTAGGAATACTTCACACACAGACATACTAGCACGAAGCGGTTCGCTTCCACAATTGTATGCCGAGCGGCTAGGGAGTGGAATTCCCTGCCTGCAGACTTATTCCCCGAATGTTATAACTTGGACCTTTTCAAGGCGAGAGTGATTAGGCATTATTTAGGTGTGCATGGCTACATCCTCGACCTCATCGTCACTTTCCATGAGATGGAGGTCAAATGCGCACTTATTTTTTATAAAAAAAAATACTTTTATTGGCATAATACAACAATACAAAACCACACAAAAACAGTTTACATACAAATTATTATTTGACACATAATTACACAATTAAAATTAAAGTAAATAGTCTGGTATGGTCTGTGTTGCAGCGTCATGCCAACTCGGGACTTAACATGTGCTGCAGTAACATACCACAGCGCTGTATTTCAGTAAGCCCGTAGAGCTCGACGCCAGCAATAAACGCAAAATAAAAAATACATAAATACTGCTACATATTACATTTACTATTATTATATATTATACTTGATACTTAAATAAACATATATAAAAGCAAGGTAAGACAAATAATGATAATATCAAAATTCCTACATACTAAAACCCAAACATAATTTGATTATAGGGTTATGCTCCGTCAGCGAACAACACATCAAAAGTGTCTTTTTTAAATATTTTATTACCCTATTAAATTCATCTCTAGACATCTCTAATCACCGGGTGGTAGCTGTAAAGTTACCTCACTGAGTGAAGACTTTCATAGATTTCTCACAGATGGCGCTACGGCGAAAAAAGTTAAAACCAAAATAAATATCTGCAACAAACACATGAAAGAATTCGCGAGGTCCGTGGTTCGTTCCGTGGCTTAGTTGGCACAGCGTCTGCCACGGTTTGCTGGAAAATGTTGGTTCAAATTTCAAATCCAGCTAGATCGAAGGATTTTTTCTAAATGTTCGATTTTAGTATTATTGTATTAATAATTATAACAAACTAGTGGAGTAATTTAATAAAAATAAATTAATGTCATAGTCAAACATTGTGACATATTATTAAATTACAATTATTAAACTGCGCTTAGGTTTACTTGTATTCTCCTACTCATATACAGTGCTTCTGTTTTATCAGTGTCTCTCGGCAATCATCGGATTTCCGAAAGCACACGAATATTCATTTCCATGCCCATTAATTATTAGGTTTTAAATGTATGTATAATAATTTGAATTTAGAACAAAGTAGTTTATTGTTGTTTTGATTTCCGTGTGAACTATATAGAGCTGTAAAACTATTTCCCTATTTTACAAGTACATGCCGTAACTCCGACAGAACATGAAATCGACAAATAACAGCTAAACTAGGTATTAATTATTTCTCTGACGTATTTATGTAGCGGCTTTCCTCCCATTGTATAATAAATAAAAAATGTAATGGCAACTCTATATACTTCCAAGTCGACTGAAAGCGTCCGGTCTGTACCAAAGGGCAACTGAATAAAACCCGACGACATTTTACCGCTGGACATTGGGAAAATATTAAAAAAAAACTTCTTTTCTCAGTTAAAATGATAATTGTAACCGACTGTGGCCGTAAAAGGTTGTATACAATTTTTTTTTATCAAAATTAATTTTGAAACGTTTTTTATGAGATCGATTCAAGAGCATAATTGAAAAAGCTCGCGCGGAAAAAATTTTTGAAGAAAACGCTTTTGCGCGCAGATTTCTAATGAGTAAGAAATCTTTCCGATCTAGTAAGGTGAAAAAAAAAACATTTTAAATTTTTTTATAAATTGCAATGTTTCGAAATTGTCCCACAAATGTCGAAATTGTCCCACAAATATCAAGAATTTGGTAGGCAGGTAAACAGGTAGTTTGAGGATACGACTGTCATGAACAGCCCAGATTGAAACCTAATTAATTGGAGTGGTTGTATGACACAAAAAAATTATTCACTAAGTTTTAAAAACTTGTCTTGTTTTTGTTACCAAATTCACCATTTGTTTTGTTTACACGTAACATGCAACATGACTTCTTTTTACAGGTTCCAACAAACCGTGCAGCAAAGAAAAGCAGTGAAGTGTCGATATGGACTTGTAAGCGAAGCCGGGGGCTGTACCTACTTTACTATACCGTCAGAACAACAGTGCATTTCCTCTCCTTTGTAAATATACCCATCCTAGACAGTTGCTATTAGGGAAAAATACGTTTAATTTTCATAAATGTTGCCATTTCTTCGACTGCCGCGTTTAAAGGGATATAAAATTTAAAATATGGATTTTTGGACCCATTGTCTGATATATAAAAAATATTGCGGTGACGTTTTTAATGACAGTCTAAACTCTGACATTTTAAGTGAGATCTTTGCAGTTGCAGTGCAGCACTAAAAATGGTAGATTTTTTCCAATATATAAATTCAAGCTTTAATTTTTAAATTTTCCACTAAATACGCGCTCTTAGACGGCAACACTCGATGAAATGTCATAAAGTACACAAACACTCTAATACAATTTGTGTTTTTTCCCCTATTAAAATAACGTAGCAAGACGGTACTTAAGATTTTTTTTTAATTTACCGATTTGTATAGTCTTTAGAAATCTTGTTTTTTTAAAACTATAAAGTGGACAATAACTCTGCCTAAGCTTTCTTCCGCAAAAGGGTAAAAAGGGTAAGAGTCAACAAATGGAAGTTTTATAAATAACCAACATTTTATAGAATAAATTTCTCCCAAAATAATCAGGGCAACTGTCTAAAAAAAGTGTAAAAGCAAGAAAGAAGTGTGAAAACTGATACATTTGTTATTTTTTATGTTTTATATTGAGAAAAAAAAATTTCAAACGATTATGTTGAGCGTTGAATAAAAAACATTGGTAAAAAAATTATTTAAGAGCAGTCGGGGAGCCAAGCGTGGATTGCAATTAGATGAATTAAGTAAAAGGATGGCCTTGGACCTCAATAATGAAATAAATTTGTATCCTAATAATTAAATGTTATTTAATGAAACAGTATATTTTAAAAATAATTTCGTATCAAGTGTACGTTTCTTATGAAGCTGGGGCGTAAACATTTCAAAATACGAATGAGTGAATGGAACTTATATTTATTCGTTCTAAATTTAAACGAATGGAAGCTAAACGGAAATGTACATTTGCACGGAATATTGGCGCAAATCTTAACTGTATACTTTCAAATGAACGAACATATATTTGAACTCAAAAATACGTGATACTCCTTGATACTTAAATTACAATTTTATAATTAACATAACTATAACTTAAGATACAGAAACCGACAAACATCTTGAGCAAAAAGTGGCGTAGTGGGGGAAAGTAAATAATTATCATATATTTTTTATTTTTCTCTTGTCTTTCTGGGAATATGTAAAAATACAGCTTAATGCGCGCGACTGTATCCGGGATGTCAGCGAGACCTAGATTACCTGTACCCCACTACCAAAGAGACTAAAAATGCATTCCTGCGCATTCGAGGTCATTGTTCAAAATGTTTGCCGGTGTCTGTACTTAATATTGTCACAAAATCATTTGAAAGAAAACAAGTTCTCAGTAAAGCTACATTTTCTGTACTGGGTAAATATTAAGTTGTTTCTGAACTTTAACAGACATCAATATTAACAACATTTTATAACACGAGATCGAATCATCTGTATCAACGGACAAATCATTTAGTCAAATGAATATGAACATTTTTGTATGGAACTGCAGTTTGTCTCTTGAAACGACTTGATTGTTACCCATTGAAAGTGTCAAACTATAGTTGTTTTTCATACTTCTATTTTAAAACCTACCTCACCCATTTAACGCATTCAAGTCCCCAAAGTATGAAGTCACAACTTGGTATTATTTCCTTTAACAACAAACTTATCTATGATTATTGATGTTCGCTGTTCCCTATTCAAATAACAAAACCACCTAATTAAGGAATGTGTGCACCGCTCAACAAATTTGTCACAACTTCGGGGTGATGCTGCCACATTACACACTTGTCATTAAACAATGTGTCTTTTTGGATACATGGACTCCAGTGGAACTACAATTTGGGTTTATATACTTTGGGCAATGAACGTGTTGAATACAAAATGGTAACAGTATGGATCACAATCCGACAATGTTATTATCCATACTCATAGTATAACAGGCACCTGTCTGCCAGCTTCCACTGTGCAACCTACTGTATGATAACCATGATTTGGATGCTAGTGTTGATTTGATCTGCCAGTGGCTTACCTATAATGCTCTTTTTCTTCTGCTAAATAGAAACTACATTTGGTATATCTGCATCCACACTAGCATCTGAATTATTTAGAAAATCCTCATACATACTTACACTTGTAATATAGGATCCTAGGCTATCTTGTTAGGTCTAAAAAACAGATATTTGGCACAAAGAAATATACTGATTGTACATTGTATGTAATAATAGCAAATAAATTGATTCGGTATCGGAAAATCATTCAACACCATGTTGTACCATAGGAATAAATTATGTATTTAAATTTACTGCAGTTTTTATTTATAGAGGGTTTTCCTTACTGAAACTTATTCCAAGGGCAATACACATGTTACATTTAAGAATGGAATTCGATCTCGTTCATATGACCAACGTGAGGACGTTAGCAGCGTTCAATTCTTTGGAGCCAATTTTCCACTTAAATTCTTTAGAGCCAATACAAAGATCGAACACTCCGAAAAAATTGCTTCGATCCGGCCGGATTCGAACCGACGTCTTCTAGCATACCGTGCCAGACGCTAGACTAATTAAAAAAGTCGTTGAAAAACACATGACAACAAGCACAGAACATTCAAGCACAGAAAATTCGTGATGTCCTCTGGTTCGTTCCGTGGCTTAGTTGGTATAGCGCCTGGGGTATGCTAGAAGACGTTTGGTACAAATCCGACCGGATCGAAGGAATTTTTTGTGAGAGTTAATTATAAAAAAGGAATTAATTGATATCCACTGCTCTTTACATACAACTATACTCCGTTTCAATCCATTTTAAACAAACAAGTCACTGACCCGACCATAGACAGTTCAGTGGTGGCCAATTGTAACGCCAAATACAAATCGATTAATTAATTGAATGTGTTCAATTGAGTCATACTAGCGGTTTTCCTTACATAACCTATATAAGCATATTTGAAATTTCAATTTAAATCATCCTTCAAATCCTTACACTCAGATATTCGTTCGTTTGCGATTGAAATGTTCGATTTAATAATCGATTACTAAACTTTAATTGATTGAACCGAATGTTTTTTTTTTCGAACAGCACTATGCAACCATAGGCAAGTCATAGAAGTATAGATGAATAATAACCTCACTTTTGGACTACTATTTTCCAAATACGTTTTTACGATGTTTTTCAAATGAATATTGTTGGAAAAAGTGATATATCAAATCGAAATCTTCGAAATATACGTGAAAGTGTTACTTATTCGATGAGTGATTGCTTTAGAATATTAACCAAACAGGTTTGTTTACTTTTTGTACAAAATGGACTGGAACAGACTATAGCACGCCCTGTCCACGCCCCGGGTACGGCCCTGATGTGTGTGGATAGTCCTTTAGTGATGGCCAACTACAAATCGATTAATTAATTGAATGAATAGATTTGTTCAATTGAGTCATACTAGCGGCTTTCGTAATAACCTACAAAAGCATATTTAAAATTTCCGTAACCTTTGAAATCCTCCTTCAAATCCTTACACTTATTATAGATATTTGTTTGATTGCGATTGAAATATTGGATTTACTAATCGATTACGAAAACTTCCAGACTATCGATCAACGCCATCTGGATATAAGACGGGATTTTGATCTTTTTCAGAGTTACGATCTGTAGTATGGAAATTAGCACACCTCTTGAGTTATTTGTCTATGATTATGTAAGAGATTAAAAACGAATGATTTACTTTCTAAACATAAGTTTATTATCAATAAATGTACACTTTGCTAGCTTAAGCCTAATAGATCTGCTCGAATCATAGTGCGCCAAGAACCTGAAAAAGAAATTGTGTAAAAATAATAATTACGTAATTTTAAGAATTGGCCATTATGTTATGTCTATCATTATTTTGATTGGCAATAACTCAATCAAATATAATGTTTTTTTAGTATAGGCTTTAAATTCTAATGGGTAGCGTGACAACAGTAGCACTGTTTTGTCGTTTCCTACTTTTCTGTAGCAACACATTAGTTATGTTGGTAGTTTTTGCAGGTGTATTAACACATACTCACAAATTTAAAAAAAATGTAATAAAATAGTAAACTTTCAGAGCAACGCCAAAACTTTTCAATTACCGTTGTTGAAAATTAATATAAGTACCAGAGCCTAGATGGCGCCACTTTTATACAAACGAAGACAAGTGTTTGATGGATTTTCGAGTTGGTATGGTCTTATAAATTAGATTCAGAAAATGTGGTAGATAACCATATTCTAGCAGAGTGATACATAAAATACATACATTGTACCAATAACTGTGATGAGAACTATGGGAGTAGGAGTGAAGTAGTTTAGTACCAGTAGAGCTCACTGCTACCTGACTTATTTCTGTCGCCAAGCAGTTATGTAAGCATTTCTGCATTCTGGTTTTGAAGGGTGCTGGTGAAATTACAGGCACACGAGACTTGTTAACTTATAACTTACAGTGACACGGGCGCAGCGGCAGTACCCCTAAGATCTTTACGATTTATGCATTGACTTACCAAGATTTATGGGTCAGTTTATGGCTCAAGGGACTTGTCAACTTATCTGCCGTCTACTAACTAACACGCGGCTAAGTGACAAATGGTCAAATATCCGTTTTAAATAGAGAAAGATAGAACATAAAATTATGTTTTAAGAATAATTGAAAATAGTTAACGCGTTCGACTATCGGAACTCAGCCTAACGATGCGTAGCTGAAATATCAACAATTTCAATATTCTAAAACTGATCAGATCTTTGTGATGTAAAGCTTTGAGTCTGCTATGGACAAGCGTTTTGCTAACCACCGGGCGCACGACGTCTTGATCATCCCCTCACTTGTATCATAAAGAAAAAAACTTTTTTTTATTAGCCCACTGTGTCTCATTGGTGATCAAAGACCTCTCCTCTCGACTTCCGCAGTTCCCTATTTTGACGCAATGTCAGGCCCGTATTTTAAATTGTGAAGTATTAAATGGAATTATTTGAAAAACAAATTAATAAGGTTAACCAGACCTGTTTAAATAGATGAAATACAGTCTTTATATATTTGACCTTGCTAATATTTTGGCAAGGCCAGTGCCAGACCTGTTTCTACAATAGGAAAAATAGGAATAAACACTGCTGAGAAAACAGGGACCTGAGGTTTAAACAATGTTGGAGTAGAGGACCTGGTACACCAAAAAGGCATTTAAATCTTACTGCCTACTCAGCTGGATTGCAATTTCATAAATAGAACGTAAAATGCAATACAAGTATATTTTTAATATATGTCAGCAATCGGCTGTCATAAGATTTAAAAACAAACTATGTTCTTAATTTAAATTATTATAGGTGACAAATAATAAAATAGTTGTACCCTTAGAATAATAACGCATAGAATGATAGTTTCATATCAAACGAACTGTCACAAGTGAGGCAAAAATCAAATTCATGTAGGCTAGTTTTAGTAGTACGTTAATTTTCGGTTTTAGTGAATATTTATATTAAAATTCAAGTTGAAACGCGTTACTTCCTTGTGGACTGTGATGTTAGTATCTCTTTTATGCTTGTTTGACGTATTTTTACACTCATTTACCGCACATTTCGTCATTTTTAGCTAAAATTCTTGAGCTGCTCGCGGTGCAAGTTGACCTTGAGCATTGAAGGCCCGCCCGCTCGTGTAGGCCCATTGGGCGCGCTTCAATTTGCCTCACTTAGGGTGAGCGGACTAGGTTTCTATGCGTTAATATTCTAAGGTTGTACAGTAGTAGAAATCAATGATCCTTACCATTTACTTCTTGAGCAGCTGATGGCGACAGATCAGGTATGGTGCAGAGAAGCCAGAGCCAGCATACAAGATGAACCACAGTGTCAGTTTGTAGCGGTTGGTAAGATCAAATGGCAGATTCTGGAAAATGGCAATTTGCAAAGCTTTTCTCATCAATTTCATGCTTCGGACTTCATCAGATCTTTAATTTTTCTTTATATTTATTGTTATTCAATTGCCTCAGTGGCCGAACTGTTACCATGCTGGTCTGCCACACTGGGTTCGATTCCCGTACTAGGAGAAATATTTGTATGTTGTACATTTATTTAGCTCGTGAGTTTGGATGTAATTTGTGGTTGTCTTTGTGTGTCCATGGCACCCACTATACAGGGTTTACCTAGTGCGGGAATATGATCTTGTGCGTTATTATTTATTTATTGAAATTGTATTTGTTCCTTCTACTTTGACTTTAAGGCTAAACAGCCAAATCCAACATTTTTGAAGCTTAGGTCAACACTTACTTAGAATAACCTATAAATCCTTTTAAACAAATTCTTAATTTATAAATTTATTAACTGAGAAATAATAATTCAGACATCTTTGTAGTAATTAATTAATTTGTTTCCATTATGTATTTCGTGGGTATATTATTTAAAAAATTGACGATTATGTAATGTTAATCTGTAGTACGAATTTTGAAAATGGAACTTACCTCGCCAGGGACACCTCCATGGCTATGGGTCCTCACAAAGTTGCTCAGTGCATTTCTACCCACTTTGGTGGAAATACGTGACAAAACAGAGTGCATTTTGGAAAATAAATTAGATGTTCTTCCTCTTTCAGAGAAATAAATACGACGGAAAATTCGATTTCCTCCAGCTAGCAACTTTTTTTGTAATAACTACCATTGCGTTCCCATTTAAAATAAAATTGGTAGTTTCTAAATGTGTTTGCCCTCGAACGCGTCAATAAAAAGTAGGAAAATGAATAAAAATTGTAAAAATTGGTTTTTATTTATTTTATTTGAGAAATAAACTTAAAACGTGTGATCTACATTATTTAGTTCTATTTTAAGCGTTTGTCTTGAAGCTTTTATGGACGGCAGATTTACCTGAAAACGAAAAATACTTCTATTTCAAATATTTCTGCAAACGTGGAGTTCCCTAATAGAATTTATTTTAAAAAATGCTTTGGAACAAGTATTCATAAATATATCTATGTATTCATTACGCATCCAATCTTCTGGAATATTTAGAATGTATGATAAATGCTCTAAGTGATTAAATATGGACGTTTGCTATGACTTTTGTTGAAAAACGTATTTATACCGTTAGCAGTTTTATAACTATGAATCACCATCTTTGCACAAAATAACAATTTCAAAAAATCATAAAATATAAACATTGAATGTACTCCTTGTACATTCAATGTTTTCCCGACTACTATTTAAGTCAAACTAGCTTGTTTTGAAAATTAAGTGCTTATATTATTAACCTTATCATTCTAACCGGGTGTCTTAGGTTATTCTTTACAGTTTTGGTAACCCTAGAAATTGGCGTAGGATTGTTAAGTAAGCAGATGCGGTTAGACTAAGTGGACGAGATTGTACATCCATTTGCTAAGTACCTTACTTATAGCTTTTACGTGTGCCGTCACATAAAGTTATTCACACGAGCTTGTTATGACTTTTGTTGAAAAACGTATTTATACCGTTAGCAGTTTTATAACTATGAATCACCATCTTTGCACAAAATTACAATTTCAAAAAATCATAAAATAAGGAGTATATTCAATGTTTTCCCGACTACTATTTAATTCAAACTAGCTTGTTTTGAAAATTAAGTGCTTATATTATTAACCCCTACTTAGGTTATTCTTTACAGTTTTGGTAACCCTAGAAATTGGCATAGGATTGTTAAGTAAGCAGATGCGGTTAGACTAAGTGGACGAGATTGTACATCCATTTGCTAAGTACCTTACTTATAGCTTTTACGTGTGCCGTCACATAAAGTTATTCACACAAGCTTGTTTAAGATAAGTAGGTATTATATAGAAATAATGCATTAGCAATTTATAACTTACTCCTATTTGGTTTGGGTCTTCCTCATCTGCCATTCAAAGATCAAGAAAGGCGATACAATGCCGGTGAACGAGTAAACGAAGAAGACGAGTGTCAGCCGAGTGCGGTTGTGAATGTTGAAGGGTAGATTCTGGAAATAAAACCAAAGAATTTCATGTGATTTCGATTCGTGCTCATATTTTGTATATTTTAACAAATCAGAACTTCTTGGAGGTTATGGGCCTACACTATTTTAATACGAGTTAAATAACCGTATTTGCGTAAAAAGATTAATGAGGAAGAGTACCTCATTTAATATATTAAACAATAAGCTTTAGTGGCTTCTTATGAGACCAACCAGTAACGTGAGCATTACTACGTTCCGGTTTTGAAGGTTATAGGTGCTGGTGAAATTACAGGCACATGGGACTTATCAACTAATGTCTCAGGGTGACGAGCTCAATCTTTGCGATTTAAAGCTCTGAGTGGCACTGCAACTGTTGTAGACAGGCGTGTCGCTTTCCAGCAGGCGCACGACTTGTTCGTTTCGTCACTTGGTAATAAAATTGAAAAAAAAAACCAGATTTTTTTCTCCATTGTAATTAATATAGAGTTACATTTAGAAGGTTTTATCAAGAGTGAATAACGATTGTTGTGCTTCAAATTCCATTAAAATTAATTCGAATAGAAATGTTCATAGTTTGTATATTCACAGTGGCAGTGCCCCTTAGATCTTTGCGATTGAAACATGATTGAAAGCTCTGAGTGGCACTGCAACTGTTATGGACAGGCGTGTAGCTCACCATTAGGCGCACGACTTGTTGGTCCCGTCACTTAATATTATAAAAAAAAACTGTTCGGCAAACGTATCAGATTGCTTAATTCATAATATATCTTTAATACATGTTTGTGTGTATTTTAACTTGTACAGTTAGCAATAGGGTTGTATTAGGTACATACCATTGTTTCTGCATTGCATTCTGTCTACGGTAGTATATTCTGTGTACAAGTCAAGGTTACAATCTTGCTGCAACCACCAGGCTTAGCATGAGCCCGAAGACAAAAGTTATCTCTTCTTCTGTCAATTTTCTCCAGATTTTCGAGACAAAATTGACACTGCTGATTGCATTATTATTACTTTCATTAATCATAAGTACCAATAAGTAGGTACCATTGAAATAAAAAATGGACAAGGTTTCTTAGCAACAGTTTGATACCGATAATTTTTATTATCATTTTACATAAAATTTACATAACGGAACACTTTACACTGGCGAAATCCTAAAAGGGCACCGCCAGTAATTAAGATGAAGAAGAAATAAAAAAACCAGAAAGGTAATATTTAACATATTTTAATATAACTTATGTAACAAACCTACTTTATGTAATAGACGGCCTTAAGCCAGATTATTCACTTTTAGTTTCCTAACAATCCGCTAGATGGCATTGACCCATTTGGCTTTTATTTCTGAATCGCGGTGTAAAGACTTTCCCTCGAATGCATGGTGACTGACTACTCGAACACAATTTTGTTAATGTGAAGAGAAATCTGAGAGTACAGAGAGCTCAGAAGCAACCCGGAGTTGAGTCCCTTCTTGGGAACTGCTACCCGGATCTTCTGACATTTCGTACGCTCATATAGGGTGACAAACCTCATCTCGTGGAATGGGGGTCGAGTCCCTTCTGGGAACAACTGCCCGAACCTTACGTATATAGGGTGAAATTGTATTGGCGACATTACAAGGTGAAAATAAAAATCTTCTGAACAAACAACAATTTGGAGTTTCACTTGGCTTGTTTTGGTAACCTCATCCAACGGAAGAAAGAACCTCCCTCCTTTACACTTATTTTATAAAGATAGTATTTTCATATATAGCGAGTCGCAGCAGTTCTGCATATTCTGTTGGTAATTATTTGTATATTCTAAACGATTTGCTTTAATTGTTTGACTTCTCGTGGACAATGTTTTAGACGTTTTATTTTTTTAAATTGCTATTATATTTATTGAGTTTTGGCACGTTTTAGCTTGCGGTGGTTTTCCAACTTTTGTAAATAACTACGGTTTAATAAATTTTTAAGTATATTTTGTTTGATCTTGCTTACACAGCTTTGAGTCCGCTACAACATTTATTAGGTACTTGCTTTGTGCATGTCGATGAGCAGGTCAAGCTTTGCATGTATGATAAGAATTTGTTAAACTTATTGTAAAGTCCTTATCATACGTCTCAGGCTGTCTCAGGGTGGTCAGAAATGCAGTGTCTGACTGTAGGTATGTGCATATTTCACCCACCATTGCGTCCACATTAAACTTATCAATTTAGCCGTGTGTACACAAGAATGGGACTCTTGCTCATTGTTATTAAAACAATGCACAGTTTGTTTATGAATTACGATCCAGTAAAGCCGTTTTGTGTGGTAATGCATCGACGCTGTATGATTGGGTTCTGTCGCTAATTACAATTTGATATCAATCTTTATGTTCTTATTGGCATTTTAACGAGCTTTCGTGTATTGTTGATTTTAATTAACTCACACCAGATTGCAGTGTGGCTTTCTTTAACGAATACTAAAAACAATTCTAGGACATGCTCAGCAGCGTCTTTCTGTATCTACGTTCAATGTTAATCTGTTTCTCGAATAGTCTTTTCTAGAGAAGGAAAGAACCACACAGACACCTACCTATAATCGGTTTTAAAAGCTTGTCTATATTAAAAAAAAGGTAAATAACATACTGTAATAAATCTATAAACCTTGACCTAACGAATAGTAGGGAATTATGTTCAAGAGAAAAATAGGGTTTTTCCAGTAGTTCACATTAAACTAACTAGATGGCGTATAACGGTTCCTTTATAATCAGTGTATTCTTTAAAAAATTGTATAATGCAGCCTATTAAGGGTCGTATTCCAGAACTGTACTCAATGCTCAAGCGAAATGGTAAAAACGGTCTTTGCATTGTTTTTTGTTATTGAAATAACTATAAATAGTTTTATTAGGCATATTTTATAGGGAAAACAAATATACTCATATAACACTTTCCTCTTAGTAAATATATAAAATATTTATCGTTTTCAGGAATACGTGTTTCTAATTTCTATCTCAGATCAATATTTGTAAAATTTTTTTTTGACATTGACAATTTTTGGTTGCACAGACTCTGCAGCGTCTATAGATTGAGAAAAACAAAAGCAATAACTTTTGATGTTAATGAAGAAGAAAATAAAAAAGATGAAGACAAATGGAAAGACGCACTGGATGAAATTGAAACAGAAGACACGACATCGAATAATAATGATAATGACCTTTTCATTGATTTCATGAATAATGAGGAGAGAACTTGTAAGTGACAAATTAAAGCACCACAATTGTTGTATGCGATGATCCCAGATATTCTTCAGGAGGCGACTACGTGTGACGAGACTGAATAATGGAAAAACATGGACCGTGAGATGAACTGCTCTAGTGAATAACTGTTATTGTTGCCATATAAATGCCTTGCCCTACAAGGAAGCGTGTTGAGGTTGTATACCTTCATGGATTTATTATACTGGCCGCTTATTTTGTTTTACTGGCCGTTTGTCGATGTGTTGTTTAATTTCTGTTATGATGAATATATAATATTTTAGTTAATATCTCTCGTCTTCTTCGTCATTCTAAACACGAATGATTTATTAGTACTTTTGCGTAATACAATAAAAATGGAAGTAAGTTACATTGCTACTTCGCGAATCTAATGAAGGTTAAGTCGTGCAAAATAAATGCGGTTGTGTTGAATATTTGTTCAGGCATTATATCTGCCATCTTCCCTTCGCATAAAATAAATAACACAAACGGAATA